CAGCAGGAAGCGGCCACTGCACTCCAGTCTGGGTGACAGAGTGAGACTCCAACTCAAAAAAAAAAAAAAAAGGAAAGGCTTTGTAGCAGAAAGGATATAAAAAGAACTCTTCTATTTTTTTGATTTTAAGATGCACGTTTCTTTCACATTTTAACATTTCTGAAATTAGAGAACATACATTGATACGTATATATCTATGTATCTTGTGTTTTCTTTTTCTTTCACCAAAATTTATGAATTGATGGTACTTTTTGCACTGATGGTGCCTTAGAATAGAGGGATTACAGAGTTTAAACACTAAAGAATTTAAAGTAACTTTGCTGAACTAGATCAAAATTAACAGTTCTATATAATTTCTATTTGAATGTGATGATGTTGTTTTTCTAGTATTTTCGACAAAAACTGCTAACTACCCCTATCTAAATGTTGCTTTTCTATACCCATGCAGTGCTTGTAGAACTAAGAAGCTAGTTAAGCAAATAATACAGAACTATCTAAAGAGTCTGAAGAAAAATATGTTCATAGCAGTTTCCAAGTCGATAGAATAACCCAAAAAGGAAATGCTTACAGTATAGGGAGGTAGAGAATCAAACAATGAATAAAATATATCTATAAAGTTATAAACCTGAATATCTTACACAGCTTACTTTATAGTCATATTCTGATTGTAAATCTTTTAAAGGGAAAATGACTATAGTAAGTGAAGGCCACAGAAACATGAGAAATACTACCCTCATTTTGCATGAGGCTCACAGTTCAATGAGTTGCTCAGGGTTATAAACAAGTCAGCAAGACCTCTGACTACTTGGCTTGTTCGTTCTCCAGCATTATTACAAACAAATATTTACAGAACTGCATTACTTACCAAGCATCGTAGGGTAAATATCCACAAGCGAAACCACATTTGATACTTGCAAGTTGGCCTTAATTCCTGGTCCCATGATCAAAAGTGGAACATGTGCACTCGCTTCATACATACTCATTTTGTAAAACTGCCGGTGCTCCATGGCCAGCTCTCCATGGTCGGAGGAATATATGACAATTGTGTTCTGAAGGATATCTAACTGGTGAAGAGCCAGAATAATTTCACCTACCACGGAAATCAAGATAAATCTGTTAATTAGCTTTGAGGTCATGCTCTATTCTATCACATTAAGTTTAAACAACTCTACTTGATAAAAGTTTGTCTTTATGCTTCTTAACATCTGGATAATATCTAATGTTCTTAAGTGAGTCATACCAAGTTTCATGTGCTCACTCCTCAACTGATAGACTAGCGAGAAGGAGAAAATATAATACTCATAGGGACTCTTGCTCAAAGCATCTGTATCTGGAGATCATGCTGTCTTACTTTCTATGTTTCTGTCAGAGGATGGAAGCAAAAAGATCTTCCCTCATTGTCTTGAATGAGAAAAGAAAGACAAGCTGGATGTCAGCACTGTACTTGTCTCAGATGGTAAAACCACTGATATCGCCACTGACCCACAGTTTATGTGCAACAGGGAATGATAAAAACGGTCAAAACTCCTCTGCTAATTTTCCTCCCAAACCCCTAAGCAATCACCAGCTCACACTCATGAAGTTGGCTGAGGGCTTCCCGCCTTTGAAGAAGTGTTGGAGGCAGCACAGATAGTAGTATGGTTTAGCATATTCTTGGATAGGGAATCACTGCACAGTAAAATTCCTCTGACCAGTCCCTGTGTTCCTTCTCATTGTAATTAAGACGATCACAATAAAACATAAGTCAGAGAGGCTTCCCTATTTTGGCAGTTCCCGAATCTGGGGTACTGGGGTTTGTATTATTTTAAAAGCCCATTGTTTCTGAGAATTGAGACCCTCCCTGCTCTACTCAGTTATTCATAGAGTTGAGGCCCTCATGATCTTTCAGCTGGACAGCTGGAATCACTTCCTAATCGGTCCTGACTCCATTCCTCATGCCCACCTCCCACACACCCCACAGTATCCTTTGTACACCTGGAGGCTATCTAAAATGCCTATCATGATCACGTCACATCCCTGCTTAAAACCTTTTCACAGCTTCTCACTGTCTAATTCTTTAGCCTGACATGAAAGACCCTTTTCCATTCTTTAACATCAGCATCCTCAACTCTCTGCCAAACCTTTACTTTTCAGCAATCCTAACCGGCTCAGAATCCCCTGAACATGCCATATTAGTTTGTACTTTCTCGGCTCTGCACATACTCTGTCTTCTATGATTAATGCCCTTTCTCCCACCTTCCACTTGGCAAATTCCCATTCTTCCCTTAAGACCCAGCTAGAGCATCATGTCTCTAGTGAAGCATCATTCCCTGCTCCTCCAGGTAGAGTAAATCTCTCTGTTCTCCAAGACCCCTACAACTAGTATGTTACTATAGTTACAACAACATATTATAATTCCTGGCATCCACACTCATTTAATAAATGTTTACTGAGCGCTGGCTATGTGCCAGGCTCTGTGAACATAATGCTAGGGACTTAGGATGCAATGGTGAATGAGACTACATGTCCTTGCCCTCATGACCTTGCATTCTTCAGGGGAGACAGACAGTAAACAGGTTAATAGATGAAGTAATTAATATTATGATGTAAACGCATGACAAGGTGGAAAGTAAGGAGATTGATGGGGCTGGTATATTGGGAAGACAGATATCCCTGGCGATGTAGTATCGGAGCTGAGTGCTAAAGACTGAGAATAAGGCAGCAGTGGAAAAAGCAAAAGGAAGGGGCATTCCAGGCAGAGGGAGCAGAAAACAAAGGCCCTGGGGTGGAGAAAGACCCTAGAGTGTCTTTAATTAATGTGTGATTGCCTTAGTAGTATTCAGTGCCCAACACAGTGCTTGACAGCTACTAACTGTTTGTTGAGCAAACACAAGGAACAGTAATACATACTATCTGGTGACCAGCCAGTATAGATTTAAACATGAAGATGCAATATATAACTTCAAGAAACTTCTATAACTTCAAGAAAGCAAGTCATTGCATTTTTTCCCCCAAGAGACTTTAAGAGTCAAGTGTTCTTATACTCCCTGTAGCAACATTATACTTCATTTAGTAGACATGGATGCACATATGGCTTTAAGCTTTCAAATGCAATTTCTGGGGTGCATATGGGTGAATGTTCCCTAATATCAGAGTATCAGTGAAATATAATTCAACAGATGTATGGATTTAGGATTAAAGAAGCTTATTAGAGGTCTTATTTTCATTAACATTGAGTACTTGAAAAGTCCTTATGAATCTTTAAATACACTTTTATACTTGCTACATTATAAATAATTTATCTACTTTTTCTTTTTTGTTTTCTGCCGAATTCTTATCTAATTTTACCTAATGAAAGTTTTTAAACAAATAATATTTCACTAGTCACTCCCAAGGTTTACTCTGTATAGAAGAGGCACTACCTACCCACACTTCACTAATACAAAAATGCTCCATTCCTAAGCAAAAGAAAGGGCATGGCTTTATAAAAATAACTTTTGTTACAAAAACATGCTTTTTAAGGCCGGGTTTCTCCATACATAAACTGGAAACTTCCACAACTCTGTGACTGGCAAAATGCTGTCTTAACAATAATCCTGTGGAGGCAGCTTTGGTTCTGAGCTTGCCTTGAGCCTGAATGAAGGAAGGATATTAAATGTGATTTTGGAAGGGAATATATATGGGAAAACTGATTTCAGATTTATTAAGCCTTGCTCTAAAGGGCCTGGGGAGAATGAATTTGTTTTGTAGTCATTATAAGCCTGGAAGAAGTCACAAAATTCTACAAGTAAATTTGCTCATCTCTTAGAACCCAAGCTGCCTTATACCTGTTACACATGTACTGATCTTTGTTAAGTACCGATCTTTGTTAAGGCCAGTAAAAAGTTTTTTGTTTTTTGTTTTTTTTAAAAATTATAAAGATGTGGGGTACAATTCAGGGTTAGGTATACAAACATTGATTATGCAGGTACCCATTTTTTAAAAAAAATTTTGTTTTAAGCAGATGGTAGCTTTCTATGCCCCTTTATGTGTAAACAAATCTGAGCATTTACGAATTTGAGAATTTGTGAATAATTAAGATAGAGCTTTTTGTTCTAGAAACAACACAAGATATCTAATTGCTATATGTGTTGAGATTCTCATAGTTCTAAGTCTGAAATACCTAAGCAACTGTTATGAGAAATATCTGAGGATGTTCATGCAAGCCACCAACCAGTATGATCACAGTTTGTTGGAAAATATTATAGTTTTTCTTCATATAATTGTGTATTAATTTTGCCACCTACCAAGCATGGCATCTGTCTCAGCACACATAGCATAATAAAATGCTCTAATATTCTGAATTTCTTTTTCCGTAAACTTTCCAGTGCAGTTTTTTGTATAAGAAGAGTAATAATCTACAGGATGCATTTCTGACAGAGGTGGCCACTTTGGGATTTTGATGGCATCACGAGATACCTATAAAAGGAAGAAAAAATTTAATTATTCTAGAAAAGTAGTAGTATTCTTCTCCTGCAACAAGTATGTTTGGTGAACCAGACAATTTTTAATTACTTAGAATAGCAGAAAACAATAGCAATGAATTATGTAAAGAAAATAGTAATTAAATTCATAAAACAGGAATAAATTGTTAATATTCCCAGTAACAACAAAAGGTATACATAAATATCTGAATATATGTAGTGAGATAGTTATAACACAATTTTAAAATTAAACATATCAATGAAAAATATTAGCTAAATTAGACAGCATTTTCGCCCAAAATTATCTAAGTACTTTATAGTTATATGACCAATTCAAAACTTTAAAATCAACAGCCTAAGAATATGGACTCCTTTTTCCTAATAATTCACTGGTAACAATGCTAGCATCTAATGAGATAGCCAAATGCTTGTTAAAAAGAAATACTACTTTTTAATACATAAAATGCTTACTTACAGTGTTGAAAAAAATAATTTAGATTAGGCCTTTAATTCAAATATATCTTTTAGTCATGAAACTGTTAAAAAGTTCAAACATTTACTTACAATTTAGTTGAAGGTTATATAACTCATTTCATTTGGCTAATACTAAGTGCAGACAAATTTTTGAAAATAGAGCCACATAGAAATTCTTAAGAATATATGGAATATCTAAAACTCTGATATTATTTCCTGTAGAATAGGATGCACTATATTTAGTGTTTCTGATTAGGGGTTTTAGAGTAACTTAAATTTGGTTTAAAGACTATTCAAAATATAGGTAGTCCTTGCATCACATGGTGCTGATACACAAATTTCAGTTATCACAGTTTAGTTAAATAACGCCAGTCTCCCAACAAATCACTATGTGTATAACAGAAACACATTACATTCAGTGACTAATCATGTTGTTTCTTTCAAAGTGCGTCATAGATTGCCTATCCAGTACATGCACAGACAGCAGAGAATTTACTTGTGCTGTCTTCTTGCCTCCCAGCCTCCCAGTGATAAATCCATGTGACCCTTTATAACAATACATTATCAAAAGAGGAACTGGTCAACAAAGATGAATGTGCAGTTAAAAAAAAAAAAAAGTAGCCGGGCTCGGTGGCTCAGCCTGTAATCCCGCGCCTTTGGGAGGCTTAGGTGAGTGGATTGCCTGAGCCCGCGGGTTCGAGGCCTGCCTGGGCAGCGAGACCTCATGTCTACAATAAATCAAAAAACCAGCCGGGCGTGGTAGCGCATGCCTGTAATTCCAGCTACGCGGAAGGATCACCGGAGCCCAGCAGGTCGAGGCTGCGGTGACCGGGAGCGGCCACTGCATTCCAGTCTGGGCAACAGAGTGAGACTCCAACTCAAAAAAAAAAAAAAAAAAAAAAATGATAAAGCTGGTAGTGAAATTGAAATAAAACATAAATGAGGTTACAGAAGAAACAGCTGACCTGGGAATGCTGACATTGTCACTATTCCAGAGGCTCTAGATATGTAGCCAGAGGAACTTGGAACTTAGTAAGGGCATGCTTAATGACATCAATGAGGAAGTTGTCATGAAGGAGGAAGATATCTCAAAGGAGTGACAATGGTAAACATTTCCACATTAAAGAAACTCTTGGAGCTACATCATGACATTGAAAGTGGAAACGGTAAAATGTTGGATGGTGATCCAAACTTAGAAAGAAATAATGGGGGGAGGAGCGGTGGGACTGGCAGTAGTATGATTCTGCAGGTGGAGGGGGGCACACCTCATCAACAAGGGTACCTGCATATTGAACATTTTTATATTTAACCCTGAATTGTACCCCAAGTCTTAAAACAAATTTTTAAAAAAGTAATAATGAAAATTTGTCAAGTCTTAGAGAAGATGCTTGCTTTGTATCATATGTTATATGACAAGAAGGCAAGGACTGATAAATTTTTAACAAACTTTTTTTGTTTTGTATCAAAACCCCCCTTAATTCTTAATGTTTTCATTACGGTACACTAAATATTAGTTTTATTATTTTTCTATTTCTATTTACAGCCTTTCTTTTTCTACAGAAAAATAGTCACTTCTCCCATTGACTATTAAGATTCTTTTGTACACTTTCAGCTTATGAGGTAATTTTTTTTTCCTTTTTGAGCTGGCGTCTCACTCTGTTGCCCAGGTAGGAGTGCAGTGGCATGCTCACAGCCACCCCAGCTTAGACCTGCTGGGCTCCGGTGATCCTTCTGCCTCAGCCTTCCAAGTAGTCAGAACTACAGGTATGCACTTCCATGCCCGGCTAATGATGTATTTATTGTAGAGATGAGGTCTTGCTAAGTTGCCTGGGCTGGTCTTGAACCTGCAGGCTCAGGCAATCCACTCACCTCGGCCTCCCAAAGTACTGGGATGACAGGCTGAGCCACCTAGCCCAGCCATGATGTGGTAATTTTTATGATCCTGAACTGTACCAAGTGAAGACTGCCTACATTCCTAAGGGAATGGCTTTGTTTCTCTTCTTATAGACATATCATATGCAAGTGCATTCAACTCAGAAGTAGATTTCTGAGTTTTAGCACTTATTTCTGTAAATTGCCCCTTTAGTTTTTTTTTTTTTTAATCAAACCAGTTATTGGTCACATTTGAATATACAATTTTCTAATTTTTCTTTAAAAGTGATAATAAAAGAAACGAGTTAATATAATAAGCCATAATGTTAACATCTACTGTTAACAGACATAATGTTAACATCTACTGTTGACATAGTGTACTTACTTACTTTCTCAAGCCAATAAAGAGATGTGTGAAATGTTGAGGATCCAAAATTTTCTCCAGAAGATGGTGAAGGGTAAGGATGTGGTAAATTTAATCCCAAGTAAAGAACAAATGGTTCGGTGTGATTAATTGCTTCCCTTCTTAACCAGTTTACTGCTTTGTCTGTATTCGCCCAGTCTTTTTCCATCACTCTTACTTTAGTTTTATTAGGGATAAGGTTAACCATAGGCCTGCCCTCTTGTCTGAGTAAGAAAGCAACATCTCTTGTCCATGCTTCCAAACGATTACTACGGGAGTAACAAGACAGGTTATTGTAAGGTATTAAAAAGTTTTAGCCACTGACTAGGCATACACACAGAAAACAACAACTTTTAAATGCAAATGTTCAGAAGAAATGCACTGGATCTCAATAAGAAAGTTATTAAACATTACAAATTCAAAAACTAGAAAAAATAACAGGAATCAAATATTCACTTATGTGTTCTTTAAAAGTATGACAGATTATGTAGAGAGGTTAATTTTTCTTATAGTGAGACATTTAGTAATATATATATATATATGTTTTGGGTTCTTAGTACTTCTCCTTATTCACTGAATTTTCCAGCATTTTTTCTTTTTTCTCTCAGAAAAAGTGGTATTTCTAACAAAGGCACTATAATTTCCTTCTATTACTAAATCTTTGTATTTTAAAAATCCTACCTACTATGTATACTTCACATTTCTGAAGTTTCAGTTTTTAAATAGTTTCTAGATCTGTTTTTTCTCACTAAAGAACAATTTTAACTATAATTTTAATCATAATCTAAACTAACAATGGGGCAAACTTCTTACCCAGTATAAACAAGAGATATTTTATTAGCTGATTTACAAGTTAAATTATTCATTGATTCAACTTTAAATCTTTAGTCTATTTTATCTTATTGCTTGATTTTTTTTTTTCTCAGTCAATGTCTAGGTATGTGTAGTTGACATAATTGTTTAGGAAGCAGTACTGAGTATTTCTAGGAAGCTTGTTTTTATAATTTTCAGTAAGTAAGTATCTCTGAAATGCCCTATCAAATACCCAATCTTATCTATTAAAAAAAGAGTTTTTAAAAATTCAGATGATACCAACCCACAAATGAAGAATATTTTATATTAAAATATAATACTCCACTTAAGAGAATGTCAATCCACACAAAATTACTAACGACTCACAGATTAGCTAAATTAGAGGAATTTTATTACCTGCCTTCTGAAGTCAGGTAAAGACATTTAAACAGTCATAATAAAAATATCATTTTTCCTTGCAGATATTCAATATATTTTGATAAAAATAATGAAAACTAGAACTTCAGCAGAATTAATCTCGCTAACAGATTCTAATTAATTCTAACAGATGGGAAACCCTAAAATAGGAAGTTTTGTGAATTCATCACATTATCAAAACAATATGACATTAGTTTCTCAGTCTTTTGTTTAAATCACTGCTGAAATCTCACTATAGATTACTACTAGACCTCTTGCAGAAGTGGAAATTTAGGGGTTTATAACAACAACAGTACTTGTGGTAGGACTCAAGGATTTGAGATAAGGAAAAGGACAGATTCATACAGTACGCTTAGGAACCAAAGCGCTTTCTTTTCAACCAAAGAACAGAAAAATATGGCTGAGAAATTATTACAAGAAGCAAGTTTATAATACAGCCTAATTAGTTGCCTGTCTTTGTATAATATTAGCTCGAGTATAGACTATTGTCTTGATCGTGCTGATTTAACCAGTGGCTTCTATGATGCTGTCATGAATTAGTCTAGCCCATTTTAAGGAAAGGTTTTCTAGCCTTGAAAGAGGGTTATATTGAACCCAACCTGTCGCCATAGCAGTGATTGTGATTTCATTTAACCTTTCTGGTAATATGTCTGTGCCCTCCCTCTCTGTTGCTGAGATTCTTTTAATCCAGATCCTCTTCAGGGTAAAAAGTCTCAAATCAAGTTATTTTTGGCCTAGTGTTATCGTTGTGGCCAGGTTTCAACCTTGGCTTTATTTTTGCCCCTTTCTGTAAAAAATATGTGATTGACCCTCCCATATTTGTGGCATCTTCGTTTGTCTCTTCCTACATGTGCCTTTGGCATAATTTCCATACCTGATGGTGCTTGAGTAGAGTTAAAACAAAATATTTCAGCATTGCTAGGGCAGTGGGGGACAAGATTATCGTTAAAGGTGAAAGGTTCCTTTCCCCAATTTTTTACTACTTTGATTAGTTGACCCATGTTCAGGCACTGTGCCTCAGTATAAAATAACAATTTACTTCTTTATACCTTAAACAGGAGAGTGAGGAGGAACAAAAGTATAAAGTGATGCATTTGGTAGGTGAATATACCACAGTATTTTAAAATCATTTAGCACTTTTTAAGGTATCTAATACATATTAATAATTATAATCCATGTGAACTCTCTGTTCTACTTTCACTACTCTCTGAGCCAGCCCAATCTTCTCGGACCATCATTAAGAACCGAAAGAACAGTAGACACAGTGACTGCTACAGGAGCTGCAATTCTCAATCTAGAAAGTCCCTCCTCCCAGCACAAGGTTCCTTCCAGCCAGTAACTCCAGTGACTAAAACAGGGAAAGAGAATATGAACATGCAACTTCATAATCTGTTACAGTTACAATAACACAAAGATAACTCTTTTGAAATGATACTTTTCTCTACTAAACAATGTTTTCAGTCCTTACAAAGATGATAGTCTAAATCAGGCCAAATTGTGGCATCTGGAGACCCTAGCTTTTGACCATGTTCTCAGACCTATTTCTTTGTTTCACTGCTCTGTTGTCTTTTTTTTTAAACCAGTAATTGCTATATTTCCCTCCAAATATACGGTTTCTAATTAATTAACCACTGGGGATATTTTGAACAAGTTTGTTTGCATTCCATTTGCATGTATTTTGTCCAGAATATCAAGAGTGTGGTTTCTATCAGGATAATTAAAATGGTTTGTGTTAATGAAGAGTAACCAAAACTGCCAGTGGTTTGGATATTTTATGATTCATTGGTTGCTCTGAATATAAATTTACTGTTACTTGCAAAGGCACAGACATACAATGTGCAGTTTCCTATATGGCAGCATTTCTCAAAGTGCGGTCCACGGATACCTGGGGATTCCCAAGACACTTTCAGTGAGTCCATGAGGTCAAAACTATTGTTATAATAATGGCAAAATGTTATCTGCCTTTTTCACTCTCATTCTCTCATTAATGTACAGTGGAGAAGACCACTCTAATTTATCCTCAGGTGGGAGCTCAGATGTGGAGTATACCCATCTTAAGGAGACTGCTCTCTATAAACTTGGAGAGGCTTCAATGTGTCATTCTGTCATGCTCCTTTTGTCAGGTCCAACGTCTGCTTCAACTCTTTGTGAAAATATAAGAAGAGCTTTACTTCTCAAAGGGACACAAATCATAACAAAAAAATTCTGATAAATATATCTACATTGGTTATGTCTTGTCCTACCACTGCCTGAGGTTCAGATCTTTCTAACCTTGCTTCTCCAAGTATGGTCTACAGACCAGCAGCATCAGCTTCTCCTAGGAGCTTCCTATAAATGTGAAATCTCAGGACCCATTCTGGATTCACTGAATTAAAATGGGCATTTAGTAAGATGCCTAAGTGATTTGTATGTATATTAAAGTTTGAGATGCACAGTGTGATAATTCTTTTCTGCAAAAATTCTCAATTTTTCGACAGGATAATTAAAACAGAGTTTCCATAGTAGCCTATAAATAGAATTATTCTACCTTGGTTCGATTCTGAATCTGCAGTTAATTAGTTCTTTTGAACAATAAAAGTTTCCTCAACAATACAAATGAAAAATAAAATTTCCTAACACATTTCAACTAATTATTGCATAAATCTGTATATTTGCCATTGCTATGTGGGTTTTTGATGCCCATGTGCCAAATTCTACTGCTATTAACTTTGAATACTTCAGTTCACAGGTAGCAGGATTAGTTTACACAGTAAGAATCTTATCTGAAAAGAATCACACATTAAAACTGATGATAAGACCATGACAGTTTTCTTTTAACATGAAGTAGGAGTCTAAACTTAAATCTTCAGCTTCTAAGATTCTCCAGAAGATAATTCACTATTTCAGACCTTAAGAGTTCTCTCTCTCTCTGTTATTGATGGGACTGTAGCAGCTAATGTGTTTCCACTAAGTCTCTTCCACAGAAAAATGATGATACTGAAAAATGCCCTTGCAAATTTCTGTATCAGCCTGGTAATTCTGTAAGAGAAAAGGAATTCATACTCACTCCTATTAAATGCTCATCTCCCAAAGTTGAAAGAAACACACATAACATTTCTTAAAGGATCTACAACGCTGTCATCCATCTTTTTTACATATGATCACTCACAAAAACAGTCTGTTCTACTTGAATCAATCACGCCAACCCTGGCAAATTCAGGTTGGCACATCACTTTTCTATATACATTCTTTAAATACTCAGTATATGCATGTTTTTTCCATTGATTGACTTTATAAATTCCAACTATTTTCTTTTTTGATGAAATTACAGTAGCTGGTGCTCCTTAACATTTTTATTCATGAATATTTTTGTAAATATGAGGAAAGTCGTGAATTTTTCTCTACTAAACAGTAATAATAATAAATTAATTACATAACTAATTATATTGGCTATATTATTATAGTATTTTTATTAGTAATAATAGTTAATATATTTCAAACAAAAGCTTTATTTGCATGTGTGTGGGGGATACTCAGGGGTTTCATGGACTTCAGGTTGTGAAATCCCATCTATACATATTCTAGTCTGCTGGTGAATTCATCATTGTGGGAGCACTGATATTTATGATGTTGAATTCCTAGATGACAATGATGACAGCCCTTCACAATGTACTCAAGTTTGCCGCAGTCTATGCGTAAACAAAGGCAGTCTGATTCAATTTTAAAAATGCTTAATGAATGTCTGCCACATGCAGGACATTGTGCCAGGCAGGTGGTTGATGTGACTTGCTTAGCTACCAAAATAGTGTTTCCACCTAGTATTCACTCAGACATAAAACCCTACTATTTTATTTTTTAAAATAAGGGGCCAAATGCTACCTTGGGAAAAAAACAACTGTAATAAAATAGTTCAGCGAAGACTATAACATTAATGGGTTTAGCACATATTCACCATTTTTATATCACAAAAGAGGAAGATTTTTCTTACACTTTTAAAGTAATTTAACGTATCAACTGGATTAGCTATAACATTTGAAACTTTTATAAGCTTTTGTTTTTT